GTGAACTGTGAATAAATTGAAGGGCTTAATTGAGGTACTAAAAGCATAGGAACAGGGACAGGGACGGCCAAGAATAAATAGTAAAAAAAATGGTGGGTTAAGTCTAAATAAATTGAAATTGAGAGTCTAGATTCGTAAATACCCTTCATATATCAATAAAAGAAATTTGGGAGCCACCGTCCCCTAGGGTCTGACGTGAATTAATTAGTTAAGTAATTATTTCATAAATTAGTAAAGTTAGTCTATTTAGTGTTTCGTCCAAAATGAAAAGGCACTTTTTCAAACCTTTTATAAAAAATAATTAAGTTCTTAAAAGTTTTGCGCCAAATGTTCTATAACTTGAGATTTTAGTAATCTATCCTTTTGATTAATATTTATTATTAAATTTAATTATTATTTTTATCAGTGACTCGGTGTAATTAAATACATTTTTATAGGTTCATTCGGTTTTAATGAAATTTTAGAATTGATTAGAATTTTAATAAAACATCTAATAGAGAATTTTAATGTGTATTATTTCAAAAAAAATATTAGTACCTAACACATTGTAAGTATGTTACGATTAAAATCCGTTGTTGATTTTATTTTTTAAAATTTGAGAGTTTAATTGGTTTAATTTATAAATTTGAGGATTTAATTGTGTGTAGAAGGAATTAATAGGCTTAAATAAATTGTTTTCTTTCAAAAAGTTTGAGGATTAATAGAGCAAAGAAACAAGACAATGTCCTAGATCAAACATGTAATAAGCCTTTTGGGTAGAAAAATAAGTATCAGGAAATGGCAGGGGTGATTTGAGAATTTGAGATTTTACTCGCAACATAAGGATAACATGAATGCATTACGAGGCAAACGGCTACTGTAAGCCTGGAAAACGAGCCATGCCCATCATTCTCTCAACTCCCCTTCTGTCCGAACCATCGTTAATCTGTAAGTACCCGACTTTCTCTTACGTTTTCATCATCTTTATCGGAAAACTTGTCTGCAAAAGGCGAAATTGTTAATGTTATTCTTCCAACAGCTTTTATGCTTTCCGTTTTCTGGGTGTTTCTAATTCGACCTTTTAAACACCTCCTCCGTTATTTCTTTACCCATGAGGTGTTTCCAATTTGGCCTTTTCGTGTGTTGCAACCCTTAACCACAACTGCACAAAACTCTTGGAAGTATCCATGCCCGCATGCACGGACGCGTGATTTTATATTAGGGTGCGAATTTAGTAACTTATATTATAAATTTAGAGTGTGTAAAAAGTAAAATTATAAAATTTCAGCCGTACGGAATATGATTCTCAATAGAAAGTATGAAGAAAATACCAATTTGAAATTATTAGGACTGCGATCGCAACCCCAGCGCCTTCATTCTAGTCTAAGTAACATATGAATATGTATATCCGACATATGAATATGGAGATATGAGTTAACCTTGTATGCGTCGGATGTATACTTGTATCCGACTCTCACACTCTAGTCTAAGTAACATATGAATATGGTGTTGCCTTTCAGTTCATTCTATTTTGAACTGTTATCTACTATGGGTTTTGGCAATTCCTGCATTAAGGTGCTTGTATGTTTCAGGAACTTCTTTTATCAATCAAGCAATGAACTCAGACGTGTCATATTCCTATACCTTTTCTATATCAGTATATCTTGTTCATACTTTTTGACATGTTACATTTCAGCACATTTCGGGATAGGAAAGTTTTCCACTCAAAGGAAGAAAAATGCAATTTTCTGCTCGAGTCATGGTTTAAACGATAATGGGTGAGGCAGCTGTTATAATCTCTTCCTTTCCTATGTTTTTAAAGGTTGCTTACGTCCTTACCTTGGTGCATTTTGTTTTGGGCTAGTGTTCATCGGAAGGAAAACTCGAACCGTAGGTTTCTTCTTTTTGTCTTAGTCTCATCAGGCTTGTCTCCGACCTTGGCTTCTTCCGGAAAGACCAAGAGTAATAACCCGTATGACGAAAAACGCTTGCTAGAACAGAATAGACGGAGACAAAAAGAAAACAATGCTCCCGAAGATTTTCCGAATTTCGTTAGAGAAGGTTTGTGTTGCAATTATAGGAAGCTCAAACCGTCTTGTAATATCTAGTAGGATGCACTCCATCTACAAATATTCACCTCGTTTCCAAATTCAGGCTTTGAGGTTAAGGTTGTAACTTCGGAGGATTACAAAAAGAGTGATTCGGGGCTTATATACCGGGATTACGAAGTTGGTAAAGGTGATTGCCCAAAGGCTGGTCAACAGGTTTTCTCTTTCGTTGTCTTTTACCAATCCGTTCCTTTCCATTATTTGCATTACTATAAAATTATTACTCGAATGAATCTTTATCAGCATGCACATGATTTGTTTTGGCTGCATTTGTAGTAATCTTGTATCGTTAAGAGAATACTTCTCTCTAAAACATGATTAAGTCCACATTGAATTTCATAAGATATTCTTACTCTTTAAAGTCGGTTTTGCGGACTATTGAAGCTACATCGTATATGATTGATGTATCCATTTATGTTTCCTAACTACGAAGAGGTTTTCAGGTCACCTTTCACTATATTGGTTATAATGAGTCTGGCCGGCGCATTGATAGCACCTATATACAGGGTGATCCTGCCAGAATCCGCGTTGGAACTAATGCAGTGGTTCCAGGTATAAATTTGGCTTAACATCCCCTGCAAAATATAAGCAACGAAATGTATAACGGAATATACACATAGAAACGATTGAAATAGATGATATATGCAGGATTTGAGGAAGGAATTCGGGACATGAGGCCAGGGGGAAAGAGAAGGATAATCATTCCTCCAGAGCTTGGACCGCCGGTTAGTGATTCCTATGGCTTATTTTATTTCCTTTTGGCACGATACCTTGTTTTCAGGTTTACTATGTGTTTCTAGTGTTGCCATAACCTCTGACCAGTACCAAGATTATTCATTCCATATGCTTCTGCAATTAGCTCAGCTTCGATATGAACTTAAATTTTCTTTGTTGATTAGTAGACCGAAAGGAATCACTACTCTAGATATTGAAAAGGAGGGCAATTCCCTGGGCTCTTATCTCGACCAACATTCTATACTATATTTCTTTCTATTTGATTGATTGAGCATTAAACAACAACTGCTTCTCCAGTATGTTATGGAAACAACATAGTGGAGTCAGCTATGTAGGTTACTGTATTATGTTTGGATCATATTCTCAATAAGCTCGATAAAGCGAGGCCCTTTTCAAGGGTCTCGATCCTTTTATGTTAAATTAGTAGGAAGAATGACTGAAAACTAAGTTCTCAACACCTAAAAAACCTTCGAGAAAAGAAAACTGTAAGCATCAATGCTAGTATAATGTTCATTTCCCACGTCTAGATTCCCTGTTTCTGCCATGGGTTAGATCAACTTCGATTAATTCGATTCGTCGGAAATCTTGTTTCCCTCTGCAGGTGGGGCCTTCAACATTTTTCAGCTCGAAACAGTTCGAAGTTTTCGATATAGAATTACTGGGCATACAAAACTGTCAAAGGAGAACCATAGCATTTTATTCTGATGTTGTATGCAGTTGAGTGATTGGGAACATCTAAGTCCTAGAAGGAAGCCAAGTTTATCATGTAATATATCATTCTTCTCCCTTCACAAGAATCATATCCTTTTTTTTAAAAAAATAATAATGTTTAAAAGACATGGATAGTGCTTTTAGATATATTTTTCTTTAATTTTCAATCAAAAAACCTAAATATTCTTATGGATAGTCACGGTTTTGAGGGGCAGAGTTTGTTAATAATTTAGATGATTAATTTTTGGGTAAACTATAATTTTTGGGCAGAGTTTGAAACATATGAATAATCAGATGATTATTTTATAAATTTTAATAATGAGGGGACTCAACAAATTAATACCTTATACTTTGAGATCATTTTGTAGCTTTTAATCGTCATGGACTCAATAAAATAATACCTTGTAATCGATGTTATTTTATAATTTTTAATAGTTGAAAATTTAATAAAATAATATAATATAATCGAGAATTATTTGTGGTTTTTATCCTTTTATTTCATCGAGATAAATTTTCGAGTTCGACAAAACTGGAGGCCTCTTTTGAACAACGAGGTAAAAGATAGAACCGCTGGAAGTGCGACTCAATGTACATATTAGTGGGTCGAGAAAACAGATTCTTCTTCCCTCTGCGTTTATGTTTTGGGTTTGGATTTTCGATGGATCTAGAAATTCGTGTTATTGACTTTGTTATATTTTATTCTTATGTCATTAATGGGTTATAGGTATATTTTTTAAATAGTTTCACGTGGTTATAAATTAATATTATTTAAAGTTATTTTTAATTATAAATAATGTATGCAAACTGCATATGTAATAGTTTGAATTCGAATCTTTCCAATAGATTATGATTATTGTATATATATGATTAATATTTGATGCTTTGATATTAAGATTATTAGAAGAAAAATAGTCAATTAATAATTCTCAGTGAGAATAGTATTTGAAAAAGAATTATTTAGAAAAATAATAATATTTTGGTAAAAATGCATTACGTCGGTTGTGTTTTTAGTGACGTGGCAGGATGTTCATTTAAAAATTTTACTGTATGTACCATTCAGAGTTAAAATGAAGAAATTGTTTTTGGAAGATCAATGTCGCCCTTTATTCCCCACCGCCCCTCCCTTGTAAATACAGACAACAGCCTTCTCCCACTAATTAATCATATTTAATTACCCAACCAACCGAATTTAAACCATTATTTACTTATTTTGCCTTTGCCACTAATCACCCTTCACCCATCTCTCATCACCCGCCACAACACCAAAAAGCTAGAGTTCAAATGCTCCATTACCTATAATTTTACCTCTGTTACTATTCTTCTTCTTGTTTGATCTGTGCTTTGTTTTGCTCGGCATAGATTTTCTGTTTTTATTCCTTCTTCTTTTTTTTCATGTCTTGATCAAATAGTGACGTGCTCGAGAATAATGGGTTGTGCGGCATCGATGCTGGACTATGAAGACACCTGATGAAGGAAGCCGTCCACACTCGACACCACTTAGCCTCCGCTCACGCCGATTACTGTCGCTCTCTTTGTGTCACCGGTTCAGCTCTTACTTCCTTCGCTGCCAGTAAGCCTCTTTCCGTCTCCAACGAAACCCCTGCAGTTCTTCTTGACCCATCTCCTCCACCAACCAATCCCACCCCTCTACGTGTCCCTCCTTCTCCCTCCCCTTCCCTCCACCCTCCTCCCCCCCCCCCTTATCTTCTTCCCCTTCCCCTTCTGTGGCTCCCAATCGTCGCCTGCCACTAAGTTACCCCCGAAACTCCCCCACATTTTGTCGGATTCGAGTCTTTCTTCTTCTCCCCTAAGCTCGAAATCCGGGTTTTCCAACAATTTTTAGCCGACGGCATATCAAGCTAATTCAACGTACTTAGACTCTCCTTCCCAAGTTTCTTCTATTTGGAACTGGGAAAATTTCTACCCTCCTTCCCCACCGTACTCCGAATTCTTTGAACAAAAAGCAAAACGACGAAAGCAACAACTAATCCAACAGCGTCCTCGAAATCTACATTCTAACTACCCTGAAGACACAGAAGATACCAAAACGGAGAAATCAGGATACGATTTCTTCCGTCCTGAAAAACCGAACCACCGTTACAATATCAATACCGGTACTAATGGCAATAATAATTTCGATCAGGAAACTGAAAGAGAAGAAGTGCAATGCAGTGAATGGGGAGACCATGGCCATGATCGTTTCACCACCACAAGTTCATCGGACAAAGAGGGGGGAGATGATGTGGCATCCAGATCCGAGATTGGGACCCGCAACTCGGAGAGTTACATCATCTCCATCGGACTCCTCCACCGGTGCAACCACTGCCACGGCATCCAATGTAAGGGGTTGCTGCTGGGAATAAAATGGATAATAAGCCGGAGGATGCAGGTGCCATGATGGGTATGACGATGGTTGTTAGGCATAAGGATTTGAAAGAGATTGTTGATGCGATCAAAGAGAATTTTGATAAAGCTACTGTATTTACTCGACTCGGTATGCTCATGTTCCTATCATATCAAATAGATGAACACAACAGAATCTCGATAGGTGAAAGCTATTATTTTCTTGCTTTTCAGCAAATATGTGAAAGCTCAAAAGCATGTTTACAACTTGTAGAATCAACAGGCATACTACAATTCTGATTGCTGGATTGTTCGCTTTCTAAGAGGCAATTATTCTCATAGAGAACAAAAAGTTCTGCCCATGACAATGCCATTGCCTCAACTGTATCTGTTTTAAGGTTCACATTCGGAGTTCAGGACCGCTCATTGGAAGTCCTAACAATGTTGTCACCAAGGTGAGAATTCAGCCCCCCAAATGCCCACAGCACTAGGCACTAACTGGTACATTGTCCCAATTGTTAGGCTTTGTCAATGATCAACATAAAATAGGCTTTGAGAGCAAGTTTTATGGGCAACCAAAATAAAGTCGAAAACCTAATTGGTAAAAAAACTTAAAGATTCCTAATTCTGGTTCTCATGCACACAGGCACAATAATTTTCATACTGATTTAAAGCTTAAAAGTTTAAAAGAGGACCAACTGCATTCCCATATCATACCATTTAGTCATTAACCATTTAAATACAAAAATCTACATCTAAGAAGTAGCAGATGATATATACAACTCCAAAATGATAATAACCAGGAATCAGTTCATACATACATGCATATATAGTGTACTATTAAGCAAATTACCTTCTGAAGAACTTCAACCTTTCCCCCACTTTGAACCCCAAACATGATCTTTCGATGAGCGACAGCTTCATCGAGGCCAGTGCTTTGAGTACAGAAAGCGTGAGCCTTACTAAGGCGTTGATCTGAGTATTGGTTGTGGTTAAACGTCGGACCATCTCATCGTCACCAAAGACAGCCGGACCACTTGATGTTGACGGGTTCTCAGCACTCGGAAACCAAATTGGACGCCCAGGATCTTACCATATTCTCAATTCGACCCCTCCAGATTCTGATCACAGTACCCGATGAGGCTGCCACTCATTGAAAGAGCATATTTGGGTTCGACCATCATTTTAGAGTAGAGTAATTTCTTGGGAGCCTCAACGGCGATGATTTCTCTTTGGGGTTTTCACCAACAGTTCGATGGCTGATTTTCGGAAAAGGAATTCGATTATGCAACCGCAGACGTCTGGGTTCAATTCTCCTTCCATCGGAATTAGAGTTCGAAACCCTAATTCTTGGCTGTGGTTTTAAGAGAAACGGGCTGGAAGGAATGCCGGTAGAATACTAAATCCACCAAACCCTACACACTGATCCTTATTTGTTCGTTCTCTGATTTCACATTTTAAGGTCAAACTTAATTTTGGCCCTTCTATTATATTCAAAATAAAATTTTATATTTATATTTTAATTTGATATAATTTAGTCTCAACTTTTATTTAGAAATGCATTTATTGTCATGATAATGTAGGATTAACTATTCACAAACAGGTCATTCGGATCGGGTCATTTCGGGTCAAGTTATTTCGAGTCTAGATTATTTGGTTTAATTTTGTTCAAGTCGTTCGAATCTAGTTCGGGTGTACAGTAAATCGGATCGGGTCAGATGATTATCAGATCAGTTGTTTTACGGTTCGGATAAATAGAGGATCGGATGATTTTTGGGTCGGGTCAATATCGGATCGATTGATTTTTGGTTTAGATAAACCTTTAGATCAAGTCAATTCGGGCTGAATTGATTACGAGTCTAATTAAGTATATATAGAATATATTCTTGTAAAAATATGTCTTCTTGTTGTTAATCTTATCATTTAGGCCTAATTTCAATTCTCAATCATTCAATATTTTAAATTAAACCAAAATTTAGAGATGATAAATCAATAATTTGACACAAATACGGTCCTATAATATGTGTTAGAATTTGTTATCAAAATTTTATATTGATCTTGTATGAAAAGATTATAATGAGAACTATTTGATAAAGAAATAATTTTTTTATTAAAGATTTTATTTTCAATTATAAATTTAAATTTTTTATTAAATTTTAAAAAATAATATATAACTTTATTTATTAAGTTTTAGTAGTAACATAAGTAAACTTTATATTATTTTTATTATAAATCTAATATTATTTTCTTTGTTTTAGTTGTTTTATATTATTTTTATTATAAATCTAATATTTTTATAAAAAGTAATATAAGTAAACTTTATTTATTATTTTTTTAATTTTACAATTAAATTCTTACTTTTATACTCTTCTTACATAATAACATAAGTAAACTTTCTATTATTTTATTATAAATATAATATTTTTAATAAATTATTAGTTTTATTTAAATTAATTTATTATTCAATTCGGATTAATTTCTATTCGGGTCGCTTTCGGGTCGGGTTAATTTCGTTTAGGTTTGATTTCGGATCGGATTAAATTTTGGTTCGGGTTATTTCGACTTCGGTTCGGGTTACTTTCAGTTTTGCTAAATTTTAGGTCGGGTATGGTTCGGATCGGGTATGGATTAGGTATCAGATCAAATTTGATTATCATATTCGGGTTAATATCGAGTATTAGGTCAGGTAAATCGGGTTCAGGTCAAGTTTGCTAGGTTTATTATTAGAGATACCCATGGGTCAGTAAATTTGATCTGAGTATAATATTTTTTAATTCGTCATTAGATTTAATTTTAATTTAACAAAACATTCTTATCTCGATTTTAAAAGTAAAATTTTACATTTACTATTAATCTCGATACCAATATATATAATATTTTATTAAGTAAAATAGAAATCTAAATGAAAAATATATAAAGAGAAATATTATAACAATCATATTTAAGTATGTAAATGTCAATTATACTATTATTTTTGGATTGAATAATATCAAGTATTTTTCATCTTAAACTTAAATTCGGTCTAATCCAATTTTATACTTAAAAATTTTGTCTCGACATTATCTAAATCTATTTTTTATATAGATTAATCTTATAAAATAAGGTTAGATCGAAACCTGTCGAATTCGAGTATAATACACTTATGAATTACATAAACCATACATTCATTTTCACTATTTATATAACAAATAAACTCCTAATCCATTTTTTTTAATCCGACACAAAAGAACCCTTCACATTTTCACTTGCCATTCTTTGCCCCATAACCCATACAAAGCAACAACTTGGGTCTATATCGTACAAGCGTCTTTAGGGTCACTTGGGACGCATTCTTTTCCTCCCTGCGTGGGGTTATTCCCATGGCCTTCAAGCTAAACTTCCTCTTAAGTTTTGGCCTTGTTTCTTTTCCATTTCCATGGCATTTACCCTTGTTTTCATTGCTCATCGCTCTCATGGAACCACTCCTAAACATAAGGTTCTTCATTTTCTGACCCTTAGTCTGCTTTCCACTTTCTCCGCCCTCCATTGTTGAATCTTCATTCCCAACTTTCACAAAAACTACACCTTTGGGCTCCGCTGGTTCATTGTTCTCCATCGTCTTGTTTGAGTTCGAATCCGATTGTTTCGTCGATAATATGAGTCCCATCTCATTGATCTGCTTCTGCTTCGACACAAACATGCCATTGGTTTCTTTTGGTCTTGTTGTTATCTCCCTAAACGGAGACATAGACCGGGATCGTCTATGGTTTTTGGCTTGGGATTCTTCTTCCTTGACGTTCTTCAAAGCCGTCATGAACGGATCGAAGTCGTCATTTCCCAAGCTCCTACGTTGAAACCAAAGTCTCAGGCCACCACTAGGCGACCTAGGGGACGATAAAATCGACCTTTGCTTATGATGTTGAAGTCTCGGCGAAGGCTTCAACTGCATCACTTTCCCATCACAGAACAGCTCATCAGCATATGACATGGCAGGAAGTGATTCCTTCGGTTTCTCCGGTCGGGACTCGGACTTCCTCTTTGACTCAACCTCGCGTCCATCAACATCGAAACGACAACTAATATCGAACTCGAACTCATCACCATCATTGAAGCTTGAATCTTCAATCCTATTGGGACTTGTTGGGACACTAAAGAGACACAAACCTCCCACTTCCATGCTGATTCTCCTCGGGCTAGTAGGGGCACTCGTAGAGAAAGTGTCATTCGGTGTTTGAGGTGTCATTTGGCTCAAATTCTGAAAATTGAAACCCAGTTCTTTTGCTTCTGATTTGAAGGAGAAACCCCATATTATAGGGGAAATTCCTGGTTTATTTCCCCTCCACCCATAGCTAAAGATTGCATTCAAATGGAGACTTATTTATTGTCAAGAAGCTGTCTGTACGACTAATAGTTTTATCATTTTGTAAAGTACTATGCTCAAGCTTGTTGTGTCTGCGAATGATACAAGACCATATAGTTGTCTTGAAGCATATACAACAAAGATACCTGGCTTTGTTATTTGTAAACAACTAATGACAGTCAGTACTTGTAACACCTCAATCTGTATCCGAGTCCGATGTGTCACATTGACTTTTCAAAACTCTATTCTTTACAAATTCACTAAATTCTTAATTTCCTCATTTGAGAAACAATTACTTTACAGTAATTAATACTATCAAATTGTTTTACAAACCATTCAGAGCATATTCAACTCAATCCACTAAATTCTTAATTTCCTCATTTAAGGGAGATGCTGACATATCTTGCTCTTCTTCGCTTCTCTTCTCGCTTCTGTAACCTACGTGTGAAACAATCACACGCTAAGTCTATGACTTAGTGAGTCATTACATTTATAAAGGAACTCTAATTATTTAAACATGCAGGAACACATCATCTCATGATATCATACCAAAACAGTATAACATTACATACAATGTAATATACACATATACATATCTCACACTATTTTCATTACTAACCTTATTCCACTATCCATATTCTTATCATTTATGTCTTATAATCATATACTCGTATGTCTATTCTTTTAAGCCACATATGATTCATTTAATCAAGCAATACACACATCATCATATAATCATATAATGCAATTCATATTACAAAAGCATATATTTTACATGTAATATATATATTTATTGTTATCTCTTTGTTAGCCTATGTACATATGTGAGAACTGTAGATATGTGAGTCTATTGAGGTTGTGCATTATGTTGTCATCGCAGCTCGTATAATTGTCCCAAATGACCTATCCATATGTTCCGAAGAACATATGTAAATGTCCATATGTTCCGGAGAACATAAGAAATCATGTTCATATGTTCCGAAGAACATAGGTAATCATGTACATATGTTCCGAAGAACATAGGTAATCCTGTCCATATGTCCCGAAAGACATAGGTAATTCTGTCCATATGTTCCGTAGAACATAGGTAAACCCTCGACTCTTGGCATGCCAACTATACCACTAGCTCTCATATTACATAACATGGGCATTATCATTTATAACATTTCACATAATCATATAAACACGTAGTTCACTGTCACGTATCACATAGCTTATATCGCATAACTTGTATCACATATACACATTCATATCACATGTTCATATAAGTTCATAACTTCTTTCACATTTACATATAATCATGTAGCTTCTTTTCACGTAGTTCATGTCACTTTTCATATCATTCATTTATCACATATAACATGGCTTAATATATGTTTGTATTTTTTTCCACCTAATCACATCTACATCTTCTCATATATCTCATACATAATCTCTATCATATATACATTTCTTCACTTATCTTATAGTTATTTATCATATTACATAATTTAACTTATATCATATTATCATGTATACATATATCATGGACACTTAACATGTATCATATAAACATGTATTCACACATATCATTAACACATGCAACAATCAATAACACACATGTAACAAGTCTTATTTTCATTAAATATAATACACTATCTAATATGCACTCACCTTGGCCTCACTAAGTTTCAATCCCATTTTATGATTCCTTTCTTTTGATCGAATTTTAACTTGATAGTCATCCCGGAACTTGTTCGTGCTCGATATCTACATAATCATACATTGATACATATTAGTATCCAATTGATGTATTCTAATCTATCATTTCTTAGACCAAAAGAAAGGCCTAATTCTATTTCCCTTTGAAGTGCATCGGTACATTCTACAGTGCATCGATGCATTCCTTAACATGTGCATCGATGCACTATCCATGCATCGGTACACAATTCACCTTCGATGTTCAAATCTTAAGGGGGTGCATCGATGCACTCTTTATGCATCGATACACTAGTGCCATTCGATGTTCATTTATTTGAGAGTGCATCGATACACATTGAAGATGCATCGATGCACACAACCCAGAAATTACATTTTGAGCTCGAAAATTCTTACTCTGTCCTCAAATTCTACTTATTAATCCCTCTTTACACCTTACAACTTATCTATACATATGTAAACCTTCTTATAACGTTATAACATTAACTATCCCTCATAATTCACCATAATTCTTGAATCAAAGAATTTCATCAAATTTTCTATGTGTTCTTAATTCAATTCTATCACCTCTAACTTCTTAATTAGCCATTTGACAAGTCAAATTTAACCTCAAATTCTACTAACTCTTTTTATTTCAAGAATTCACTTAAAAACTCCTTTTACTTAATCTCTCCTAACTCTGTCGTCTTTTGATTTTAAGATAACTTAAGCTTTCCTTAAACTTAGTTATCGTCTAATGATCACAAACTAACCTTGAATTCATCAAGAAATTAACTAACCATGAACTCACCTTTGCTCTTGGCTTCCACGTGAAAGAGAAGAAGAAAGGAAAAGAAGAGAATTCTGGAGAAATCTCATGTGGTTTCCTTATCTTATAAAGGAAAAATAAAAATATTACTTGTCAAATGATCATTTTACCCCTTATTCCATCAGTTATTTACTGAACAATAAAATAAATATTTCAAATCTTTCAAAATCAGACTTCAAATTTTCAAAACTTTTATTTTAGTCACTTACTCTTGTTTTGGGATGTTACAGTACTCGTCTGTAAGATATCGTCCGCTTTGACACTTGCGCTTTATGATTTTCTGTACCTCTAGACTCTACCGGAAAGTGATATTGGAGATGATTCCATCAAGATCTCCGACCGAAGACCATGTCCAGGCTACTTCACTTATCAGCACCACGTCCAGTAGCTTCTGCAATGACTATCAAATCCATCCTACACATACAATTCCAATTTCCAACTTGATTGTGTTTTGGAACATGTTGGGTAGGAAGGAAGAGTTCAGTCTGCAACCGTGTGATGTGCATGTAAAAACGACACCTCGCGTGCATCAACAACATTTTGACTATCCGCTGTATTAAAGTGTTCGACAATGAAATAATATCCAAGAAACCATAAGGCTTAACGTTTTGGCTCGGGATACATATGATAGTATGAATTTGCAATGTCCAAGTCCCCTTTTCAGCAGGAGAACACTCGACTGCTGGAAGCATGGATAATGCCGAGGAGCAGTTTCAAGAAAAAAAATGGTTGAACCGTGAAAGAAAGGGAATGCAGCATTCTTTCTACTATCGAATTCGACAGCAATTCTTGTGCAATTATAGATAAAAGTCCGACCACATCGGCACATGAACAAACAGGATCTAAACCATATGGTCCAGTTTTGGCACAAAGTAGAACACACATCTGCTAAGATAGACAACATACATCTGCTAAGATAGACAACATACAATAGCGTTAACATCTGGTGAAGAGCATGCCAGTAATCCCTATATAGCAGATGACAATAATCATTTTATTCAATCAAGGTAAGGCCGAGAATCGAAAATAAAAACTACTCAATGAATCGATGAACATGATGAAATCCAATAGTACAGAACCAAAAAAAACAAGCATAATACATACATGAACGCATGCATGCACACGAACAAGACACCTTTGTGCCTTTTCTTTTCAACCAAAATATCCACATGACATAAGACATACATACAAGCTACAAACGCGAATGAAACATTAAATCGTATCAGTAAAGACTGCAAAGGTAGAGGCAAGGGATTAGGGAACTAACAGACTGCATGATATCACCGTCCATTGAAATTGACAAGGACTAAATTGCTCTATTTTTCTTTTGAGAGGGAACTAATAGGATTTTCACCAAAAGAAAGTGTGTGAAAACACTTGTTGATTGAAGGATTCCTCCATCCAAACTATATCTTCCACTTGCTTGCTGGCTTCACCAGTTCTCTCTTGCAGTTTTTCTGGGAAAACTTTCTAAAATCAGGTCCTTGAAATAAGCTTGCTCATCACCTCCAATGTATTACATCCGTTGGATCGAAAAGAAAATGATCTAAGCCGTTGATAAGAAAAAATACCTAAAGGCTAAAGAAGTTCGATAAAAGAGAAGGGGTTTCTCCCATTCTCTTCACGAAAGCTGAAAGGTTCAAGCTTTCTCCTCTTCAAACTAGAAATTTTCAACTATGTTTGTTAAGAATTCTTTTTTAGTAAAGGGGTCTTTTTTTAGACGCTTTTCGTCATCATCATCGTCTTCCTCAAGCGTGCTTTAAATCGAAGATGTTTTAAGACATACAAGAACATTTTCAAATGAAGATGCTAGTGAGTATTCTAAAGTGAGTCATGATGTAAATCCTTTGCACTTCTATTCTGGATCTGCTCGAGCTGCTGGGATCGGCTTGTTCATGGCTTGCTTGTTGCTTCATTGTTTCCACGGATTATTTCCTCCCACTTCGTAAGTCGATTTTACCTTTTTTTTCCTTAATTTTGGCAATGTAAGTGCTTGATAAATTTCTTCAACCAGAATCATAATGATTTTCCCCTGAGTTCCTCAGTTTTTTGTCTGAAGAATTTCTTCGACATTGATTGGTTGTCCTGATCATCCTGCTAATAGATTTATGAAGAGAATACTCCATTAATTTTACTAACAATACTTGAAAAAAAAAAACTACATTATGACTTGAGAATGCCTCACACTTGCTTCAAAATTGTATCCTAGCAAAGTCACTGATAGTCTTGGCCTGGTCCAATTAACTTCACGGTCCTAGTCTGTGCACTTATAGAGTTTTCACTCCTATGGGTGTTAGCCCTTTCCTGGACAAGGTTCATCTCCGATGATCACAATTCTCGATCGCCTAATTCCAAGCATTCCCTTTTCATGAACCAT